AACTGCCCAAGCTTCTGCTTCTGAGGCTGAGGCTCTTCCAGAATCATTTGAATCTCTTCACTAAGCTTCATCTTCTGAAAGGCAAAAAGCTCTTGCTTCCTGGAAGGATCTGTCTCCTTCTTCCTGTTGCTTAACTGCCCACCTGCAGTTCCTCTACGCTCTTCCAGAACTGGAGGCCTGCCACCTTGTCTGCCTGTTACAGCTTCTTCTGGGTCTTCTTTCTCCAGCTCTGCTAGCTTCTGGAGGTAAGCTGACATCACTAGTGCAGCTTCTTTCTGCAGCTTGCTCTGCTGCTGCCTCTGGTATGGAACTACCCTGTTAGATAGCACAGGCTCTATCTCCTTGGCTTGCTGCTCTGGTGTTCCAAAAAACTTCTTTACGCTGAACTGTTTCTTCTCTAAGCTAGCTGGGCTGGGGCTGGGTGCAAGCTGGCTGGAAGCTAAGGACTCTGTCGGGCTTGCTGTCACCTGAAGCGGTGCTGTCGGGCTGGCCACACCTTTGGTTTTCTTGTTGTTTGGTGTTTGAAAACCTTCTAAGCTCTTTCTTGCAAAGCTGTCCTGTGTTGAAGCTTTTGCTGCAGGCAGCCTTAGAAACATCGAGAAATCAAAAGAAGGTGTCCAAAATCAAAAAAAAACATTGAGAATTCGAAAGAAACCATCCAAAATCAAAAAAAACATCGAGAAATCGAAAGATTTTGTCCAAAACCGAGAGAAACCTCGAGAAATCGAAAAAAACCAAAAAAACCAATCTGGCCAACAGAATGTTTACATGATACCAGCACATTGTCCCAGAATCTTTGGTTTTTTTGGTTTTTTTCGATTTCTCGAGGTTTTTTTTGGTTTTGGACAAAATCTTTCGATTTCTCGATGTTTTTTCGGTTTTGGGACAGGAGCCTGACATCTGCAAGGGGGGTAAGGTGGAGAACTGTTTGCATGATACCAGCACATTGTCCCAGAATCTTTCGATTTCTCGATGTTTTTTTCTGTTTTGGACAGGAGCCTGACATCTGCAAGGGGGGGGGTAAGGTGGAGAACTGTTTGCATGATACCAGCACATTGTCCCAGAATCCTTTTTTTTCCTCGGTTTTGGCCAGAATGCAGCAAAATTAGGTGTGTGCAAAAACCCAACGCTCACAGGGTCCCTTTCTGAAAATTAAACAGGAGGGGTTACGCAGGTTTTGGTCCATGCTTCCACTGACCAGGGTTCATTTTGGTACCCAAGTGGGAAGCAATGGGGGGGGGTTGACTCCAGGGAACGGTTATCCTTTGATCAAGATCAAGGCGCACACCTGAGAAACCAGCCCCCCCACCCCCGACAAGTCGGCAAGCTTCCGACCTGCGTGGTTCACGAAGGTCCTTTCCCGGATGGTTCTCTACTTTCCAGTTTAGGAATGCAGTGGTACAGAATCAGCCAAAAAGAGGTCCAACCCATTGAGACGGGGGTTTCTCCCGAAATATCCTTCAAAAAACAATGGGTTTGAATCCAATAGCTGTACGGCTCTCTCAGGGGATATTGTCGTGGACGTGAAGCTCTACGGCATCAAGCGAGGGCCTAATCCCCCGCCCACGCCGGAGGACGTGTCCGCGCCACCGCCCGACGCTGTCTTCGAACCGCGCCGCGGCGCACAGTTGGGTGGACGCTTTTGGTGTATTTTCCGGGAACAGGGGGAAACAGAGGGCCTGAGTCTAGGGAACTGGTCAGGCCTGGCAAGACTTTCGCCCGAGGTCCGGCTTGGCGACCAAAGTGGTGAGACCCGGGAACGGCACGCAGACTGCCAAAGAAGCAGAGTTCAACCGGGCGGTGGCCGCTCGGGCACAAGCCGAACCCACCGATTTGCAGCACGGCTTTGCCGTGGTTGCTGTCCTAGTGGTTTCACTTGAAACCAAATTAACCAAGTTTAAGCAGGTGACCCCTAGTTTTGTTTCCTGCCTTTTAGTTTTGAATTACCCCAAGCCAAAAAAAGCATCCCTTTGAGCAAAACTACGCCCGAGTCTACGGTCCCTTTGGAGTTTGGGACATCGGGGATAATATCCGAATTCATCAAAAAAAGTGAGGGGACGCACACTAGTTACGCGGGAGTTTCGCAAAGCTGGTAGCCCCTTTTTGTCTTTCGTTCCATTTCAGAAGGAGGTAGCCCATTCTACTTGACACCTCATGTTTGACCGGTTGGTTCCCATTGCTTTCCCTTGAAACCCATCAACAAAGGGGGGGCTTGACTAATTGAGTTGATACCCTACGGTTGGCAACAGTATTTGCGCGCACGTGCCGAAGAAGTTGTTGTGTCCCTTTGGTTTCTGCTTGGTTGCTCTTGAAGATCCATCCCCCAAAATGCCGACTTGAGCTGGCATCCTATCCAAAAGATTTTGTTTTACCTACACTTGTTCCATACCCACGGTTATCAACCCCAGTTTGAGAAACATTTGGCTTCATACCGAAGCGTAACACAAATCCACCGCGTGTTTGACACCTATGTTTCTGAAACGCCCCAACAAAATGAGGGAGACTGCTTAGGAATGTGGTTCCAGACTGCAACTTCTTGACAATTCTCGGCAAATCCTGAGGAAATATTCACCATGGATACGGCTGGTTGGCATTTGATTCGGCCACCACCCCCCCGGCCCGCCGGCCCGCGCCAAAGCGAGGTGGAGTGGTACGGCTGGACAGCGGACGGCCAGCTCTTTGATGCCTCCCTGAACCAGGCGACCAGTCCCGGTGAAGGGACCTCGGTGGTTTGGAGTTGGTTCTCCCTTTTGGGTGTGTGTGTGTTAAAGGGAACACTAAAAGGACCCCCCCCCCCCCCATTTTTGAAGAGTCCAAAGCGCTACTTTGGCAGACCCCAAATGGGTTCTAGGATACTCTTGCCTGTCAAGCAACGATGACGATTGAGGGGTAAAACAAGCCAGTCCCCATCATGGAAGGTCCAAGAACTTGTTCTTGGCCAGGGGGTGGGGTACCGCTCCCTTATTTCCAGTTTGGGAATGGTATTTTGATTTGGCTGTGGGTCAAAACCGTTTTGGTACCATGTTGGGGTAGGTGCACCACCCATTTTAGAGCCTATTTTCGTGGGGATTGGGATGTTCACTGGGGTACGGGCTTTTGACCCATGGCCATTCGGATGCGCGGTGCCAAACGGTGGACTCCTGCCCTTTTGGGCTGATCGCAGGGGAAGAGCGCGGTGGAGGTGCAGCAACAGAACGTGCCCAAGGGATTTTGGGAAGGCGCGGCGAGCGATCCATCGGCGAAAGGAAAGCGATCCGATTTCTCGCCCCCGATTTCTCGCCCCCCAACAAAAACAAAAAGCAGATGTTCGTTGCCTCTGCATTCTTTTTTTGTCGTTGTTTCGATCTGGAAGAGGGGGCCGACCCTTTGGAACGGGGGACACGTTCCCACGGGATCACGGAAAGGGGCCTGTGTCCAAACGAATCGACTTGCGGCATGGAATCCTGGCATGCGGGCTGTCTTGGATAAGTCCAGGCCTAGAGAGCCCTGAATCACCCAAGAGGGCCAAGTTTTCAGCTATGGGTTTCGACCTGGTTTGATCCAGGCTCAAGGACCGTTGGATCCAGTTTACTCAGGGAACATCCTCGCCTCGAAAGTCTTTGACCCAATAGAGCGGTCCTCCGTGTTTTGCAGCGCGCCTAATGGGTCCTTAGGTCCTTGGATTTGCTTGGAAACTTGGTGCAGGGGGTCGGATCCGTCTGGCCAGAAATCTGTAGGCATTGGCCTGATGCTCCCGGGGGAGACGCGGCGCTTCTGGGTCCCCGCAGCCTTGGGCTATGGCAAGACCCGCACGGACGGGGGCCCCGCGGGGCCGCTGGTCTTTGATGTGTTCCTCGAGGAGGCGAAGAAGGACTTCTTCCGGTGAGCGCCCAAAGAAGCCATCTGTGCTGGTGGTTCTACCTGGTTTCTGGGGTTATAGAAAAGCCTACATAAACCTGAAGAATGCTGGTAGAACCAAACATCAACGGGTTTGTGCCTTTCTCAGGTGAGCGAGCAACATTTTTCGAAGTGTCCAGGCTGCACAAGCTGTACAGCGTTTCACGGGATTCCTGTGGCAAGTACGGTGGGCAGCCATGGCTTCTGCCCACCTTGCTCTCGGAACCCCATGATGCGCTGGCAGACAGATGGGCTCCCTTGTTGGAGATGGTGACATTTCCTACCTGCCTTTGGTGAGTCCTAAGAACCATTTCCGTTTGGAAGCATCCGACAGAGCCTCAATTGCAGCGTTTCAGCGAGAAGTTTGACCCTGGGGGGGGGCCATCAAGACTTATCCGTTGACTTATGCGTGGATGCGGTCTCGAAGCATGCGGATTTCGCAGGGGATGCGGGGTTTCGCGCGCCCAGGAGTGCCATGAGAGGGCCAACTAGATCATTTATTTGTGTCTCTTGAACACGCACTTCTGAAAGGACTCGGGAACGTGTGGGAACCTGAGGAACTTCAGGGTTCCAACTCCATTTCCTTTGTTTGGTCTTAAGATGTCTTAAGCATCACCTTGTGGGTCAAATGTGAAGTGAGCTTCCTGCGGGGTAATTTTTGCAGGTTGCAAATATGGTCTTTGTGCCAGCAGCAGGATAAATTTGCCCTTTGATCAATATGTTAACGAGGGATATGGATGCCCCAGTAGATTCCAGTCACAGGCACATAGGCACGCGCACACACACACACACACACGCACACATGTTGGTGGCGGGGGCATCATCCAGAAGGTTTTTTTTTTTTTTTTTTTTTTTGCGGGCATCATGTCGCCCTGGTTCCTATTTCCAAGAGCACGACCCTGTAATGCCGAGGAGCCCCGGCAATATACCACAAGGCAAGGCCCAAGTACACAATGGGTAAGTAGAGGGTAGGATAAGCACATGGTTGGGTTCTTACATGATCGTGGCTGTGGAGAAGAGAGCTTTCTGGTCTACCAGTTTATGGGTATCACAGAGACTGGGCCTGAAACTCATTTGTATACTGTACAGACGATTTCGCATCATCTGTGAAAGTGGCATGCGAGGTGCTGGCAGAGACAAACCCGAGCAAGTTTCTGAAGGCGCGATGGCCAGAGGGTTGGTCCCAGCCAAGGCCAAGCCTAGCCTGTTATTCCAGCGGTGGGGGGGGGGGGGGGCTAGGGATTGGTTAAACTTCCGTTGAGTTCCAGGTCCCTTGAGGCGTTGCGCGTTATTCAAGTTCGGCTTAAAGAGTTTTGAGCTCCGATTCTTGGAAAGGCCTTCGAGAACGTGCGCCTGTCCTCGGTGGTCAGTCTCCTGCTGTGGCCCCGGTTTTGGACAACGCTAAATTCGACAGTCCCCGCAGAGGGGAATTGCCGGGTGGGTCCAAAGAGAACTATCCATGGGGGTGGCCGGACCTTTTGCCGTGGATTTGCGGGACCTGAACTAACAAAACAAAACAAAAACGATGCATGTTAGTTTTGGGCCCCCCCCAATTTGATTTCGCTACATCACCGAAGGGGTTGCCGCGTTTTTTTTGGTTCCATGGAGCACTTTGCGGAGCCCATGGAGCTCCAGCCCAGGCCGCTGCTGATCTCCGCCGGCATGCTGCGCAGCAAGGGCCAAGCCCAGACCGAGGAGGAGGCGGCGGTTTTCCGAGACCTCAAGACAGCGCCCGAAAAGGAGATTTTATCGTGGGTGGCTTTTTGCTTTTTTGTATATAGGGTTGAGGCAAAGCTCTATGGGGTGCTCCTCTCTTTAAATTCTTGCCCCCAAATATAAAAAGGTGGCCTCTCCCAAGGAAAAGGCAACCTGGAGAAGCAAGTTTGATCATCAGACCTCCAAAGTTGCTCCAACTTTGGAGTCAAGAACTGGGTGCCTTGGAAATGTAGGTCCACAAAAAGGAAAAGCACCTTCCAGGATGATTTTACATCACACAGTTAAATGGGATCAAGTTTGTTTTTTTGTCTTCTTGGCTTGGAGCTGCTTTAGAACTGGTTTCAGGGCCCGAATTCGAGTGGGATGGACTTGGTGGGATGTGGTAGTTTGGACTTGGTTTAGTATTCGTCAATTCTAGTGCAGTACTGCTGGCTGTCGGGCTTTGGGAACCTCTTTCTCCTGCGGGGACTTTTATTATTTGGGGGGGGAAGAGCTTATTGCGAACCCTGTTGACTAAGCTAGTTGAATAGGGAAGAGCAACCCAGCTTGGGGGATCCGGATCGCTTTCGGAGTTGCACTTCTGTCACTTCACGGGCGCTGGTTTTGCTTTGTAGAGCTTTGGACTAAAGTCAAGGGAGGCGTTAGGACCCATATCCCTCCCCAGAGATTTTCGGAAGGTGGAGCCATGATCAGGCAGCGGCGGTTTTTGCAGGGATCTCTATTTGTTCCTTTTTCAGTGGCAATCGAGTGGATCGAGTTTCTCTTCGGCGCGATGCCTTTACAGGGCCCAAAAGCCCCAGCCACCAAGCACACGCCACAGGCCATAGGAACTTCTGCACCAAACTCCCTGCACCCCTGGAGTCCAACGATCCTTGGGCTTTGGATCACCCAGAATGCAAAGGATCTCACAGAAGCAAGTGTCAACCGCCCGAAAAGAGCTCCAACAGGATTTCGTCCACTTGAGAGGTTGCACTGACTGTTGGCGACGCAACGGCAGCTCGCAGCGTCCTCTAGCAGAAACGGCATGATGTTTTTGTAAGTCCCAAGCCAAATGATGTCCACTAAAGAGTCCCCAGCCAAAATAATACCCGTATGAAGTACCATCAATAATTACTTCTGTTGAGCTTAGTATTCGGCGTGTCATTGATATTGTAAAAATGCACAAAACCATGGCAAACGATAGGGGGACTCTCAAAAGGACGATACTGCTCAAAACCGATGGAAACACTGGAAAACGATAGGGGACTCTCAAACTATCTAGCGAAACGGCCGCAAGTAGGTAGTTTCGACCGTGCCTCATATGTCGAACCAATTGTTTCTCTCTCCAACCACGGAACTGTGAAGGGTTCTGGAAGACTACAATCTCAACAACGCAAGATGTCGCTTTCCAGTGGCAGTCAGTGCCCCTGTGCCACTGTGGCCATCCAGCCACTGGGGTCCGGCTATGTGGTTTCGTTTCCTCAACCATGGGGCAGGGTCGGATTTGACACGTTTCAGGGAGGCGCTCCAAAGTGACCCAGCTTCGTCGTAAAAAATGTCGAGTCTATCCACCTGGAGTTCGGGACATACGACTGCAGAATTTGAACCACAAACTCAGTTTCCCTCTTTCAAAATACTGGGTTTCCGCCCTAAAACACTGGGTTTCCAACTAAAGCACCTAGAGAAACATGGGTTCTCTCGGTCCATTGCCGTGCGAGCTTTCGCAGTTTGAGCATGGCCCATTTTTGGAGGTGGCGGCTGCTGGGGAATCCATGCTGAGGTGGCTGTCGCGTGCAGGCCTGGCTCCTGCGCCTTCGATCCCCTTTGTTTGGTGGCGCAAAATGACGTCCAACGCAGGCCCCTGTTTTATTGCCGACCACATGGTTCGTCCTGCAAAGAGCTGGTCCTGCAAAACATTGGCCTGGGCAATCTGAATGTGATTCGAGTGCCCCCGCCTCGGACCTTCGGAGTGAGGGTTCTTCAGTCAGGTTTTGGGTCGCGGCTCACGCTTGGCCTCTCGGGCCCCAAGGGAAGGGTGGGACCTCGCATGTGGCGGTTTTTGTTGGGTGGGTCCGATGTTCGCCCATGAACATTCCTTTTTTGGCGTCCATCTCTAACTTTCTATCAGGCTTGTGCATTGGTGTGATTCACCCAGAACCTCATAGCAACGCATCTTCAACGTCACCTGTCGGGCAAATTGATTGTCAAACTGATTGTCAGGCAAATTGGGGCCTTCACCAAAATCGCCCGGCGGTGGGGGACACGATGAGCATGAATGAAGGAGGGGTCAAACAAACACCAAGTTCCCATTGGGGATGATACTCCCCGCATATCTGACAGAAGGAACCTGAATCCCGGAAGATGAGCAAAGTTTTGAACGGGCCTCTTCTCCTGTTGCATGATATGGGTGTAAATAGGGGCCAAAATGGAACTCTGGTACATGGACAAGTGACTAAAACCTGCGGTCCCTGGCTCTGAAATTTTGAGCCACGTCCATATTGTCCACAGGAGGCGATTTGCATGAGCTTTCGGTTGTCAAGGAAATCGGACAGTTCTTCCCCTTGGGTTGGGAAGGTATTTGGCCCTGTGATTTCCAGAGACACGCAGACCCTCTTCTGGGTCCCAAAGGCAACTCATACCCGCACACAACCTCCTGCAAGACGATTTACCTCTTGGAAGAGGAGATTTCATGCACGCTTCCGCGTTTGTGGGTGGGAGGGTGCATAAATATGTATGTATATATATATATATACACACGCGTAGTTATAAATGTTTGTACAGGTCGAACCCCCTATTCATGTCCACCATCGTTCTATGGGGAAACCACCAGGCTTACCGGTGGTTTTGGCAATTTCTGCTGAAACGGAGGATCCCCGAAAAGAATGACAGAGCACAGAATCACCGGCTGTCTTTTTCGAGGGCACCCCTTTCTTGCTTCGGGAAGGGAGCACAAAGGACAAACCACATTTTGTTGTTTGGGGGGTGTTTTTTCTGTTTGAAGGCACACCGAGCATTCGTGCTTTTGCCAAGCTCCCCAGCTCCAGCCAACTCGGCTCCCAATGCTTTGTCAGGTGGATCCTTTCTGGTCAGCGCCAGCGTATACCAAGTGGAAGCACGGCAGGGACCTTGGAGTCGAGAATCCAACATTTTCTCTGCTCTATGTACTGTTCCCTGGTGAATTCAAACACGCAGTAGCACTTTTGGACCCACGACAAGTGAAAAGGGAGTGACATTGGTGCTTTTCGTTTAATTCTTGGCTGTGGGCTTGGTGTTGTTGATGCCTGAGTCCCTATTCGAGCAACCTAGCAACCAAGCATTTTACTACTCAAAGCCCCAAACATGTCCTCTTGGAGAAATCATGTTGTCCGTTCATTTGAGATGCCCTCGCAGAGGTCATTCTTGAAGCTCATGGAGCAGGCTGGGTTGATGGTAAAGGGGGCATAATGAGAACTGCCTTGACGAAGCACTTTGGCAGAACCTGAAGGTTTTCGGGCGCTGCCGACGTTGCTCACGTCCGGGTAGAAACCGGATGTTGGACGTTTCGGAGCCCTGCGCGCATCTGTTCGACTTCTTTCGGGCTTTCCGTTTTCCGAATCCCAAGTTGCTCATCCGTTGATTTGAGCCTGGGCTCAGTGACCAAAGGCGGCAGTTGGGTTGTCTCTCAGAGAGGGGTTCGCTTCACGGCCCAAGCTTTCACCGCATGTTTTTTTGCCTTTATGCTCAGCTGATCAGGCTATTGACATTTGCAGAACGGAGATCACCGTACACCAGTGAGATCTTTTGTCGCGGGGTGAGTTGAGTTGGGAGGACAGTGAGACCCAGTTTTCCGGCGGAAACACGGGGGTTGAGGGCCACAGAATGCACGGCACACATCTGCAGGTGAACGGCACCGGGCTTGGGAGGCTGCGGCCGAACAGCATGGTAAAGGCGGGATGCGTCGGCGCTAGGGTTCGCCACCTTTGAAGAGAAACCGCGGTTGTCAACAGTTTTAAACGACGGGTGCAAAGCAATGTAATATGAAACACCCAACCCTGACCGCCCCTCGCATACCGGAAGCCAGTTCTCGGAGAGAGTCTCCCCCCCCCCCCCAAATCAGGGAACCTTGACTGTGGCTCGGGAATAAGCGTTTCTTGTTATGAGCTGTAGCCTCCCCCCCTCTGCAAGCGCCGCATTTTCAAACCATGGCACGAGCGAGCATCAGAACTTCTGTACTAGATAGATGGGGCAGCTCGTGTCTCCGTGAGCTTTTAAGACCCGAATATGGTTCCCCAATGCCCGCACCAAGAACACATTGTTGGCATTACGGCCTGTCGACAGGTGGGCGCCTGGCTGTCCTCTCTGGCCAAACGCAGTGGCTCTTTGGAGGACGGAGCGATGCGCCGGACGTGGAAACTTAGGGCTCCCGTCGGGGAAAATTGATTTCTGCCACAAAGGGTAGATACCGCCGGTTTTTGGGTTCTTGGAGCCTGGGTACGCTTGCTGGCGGATAGGCGCGCTTTGCGCGGCATCACGTGGTTGCTGAAGACACATCCACGATAATGTTGCGTCCTGCATTCCAGCACTCTGCCAACACGAGAGGGGACCCGCTTCGACGGAGCGGTTTTACACTTTCCAACGCGACAAGAGCACCATATGAGCAGCACTGTTGTTCTGAGAGTGGGAGCAGGATTTTTCGAAGAGGAAATCCACGTAATTCCAGGCTGAACCTGCAGAACCAGCCTTTTTCGATGATTCAGAAGAGGAAACGCCAGAAACGCGGAGGTTCCCAATTTCAGGAAGCACCTTCGTGGCTTTGGCTCCAAGCGTTTACACTGCTTGCAAAACTCATTCCAGTGACAATCATCCCGAAAACGGGTTCAACGCAATTTCAGGAGGTTCCTTGTATTATTGGCTCAAACCATCCACTGAGGTTGGTTCAACCCAGGGTTTGCCTGCGGTTTTCCCTCCAAACCAATCAACGGCACGGCTCCTCCCGGCCAGAACTTCGTGGCCATGGTTGGGGAATTCGACCTGGTGGAGGTTGCCGGAACCTCAACAAATCCGAGTTGGTGAGTTGGTGTTCGTCGCTGGACGCCCCCCCCTTTTTGGGTTTTTGAAGTTGGAGGCCAGGCCCCGCTTTGTTTGGTTTTGATTCGGCGAGGGTTTGGCTCAGTGAAAAGAGCCCACCTTTGCAGGCCAGGAGTTTGAACCAAAGGGAGGCCGAAAGCAGTGTTGGGGGAGGGGGATGAACGCCTTTAAAAGAAGACACCCAGCAGCTCAGCAGGGGTGTTCAGAAACATGCGATGTCTTTTTGTTGGACCCTGTGGTCCCCATGAAAAGGGGAAACATCAGGGTCCAAGATTGGGGCCGCTCCTTTCATTTCGAGCAACCCGCAGCAAATCGAAAAGGGAGCTTGCATGGTTGCGAAGAGGTACAGTGATCAAAGGAACACAGATTGTGATTCCCAAATCGAAGATCAGCCATGGTTGCAGTTGCGATGCCAGAGGATGAAGCCATGTCCTACGCGCGAGGTATCATGCCTGAACGCCCTCCGCACAGGCCCAGGCGAATGCCTTAGACAAAGCAAAGGAGACTGGAATGGAGCGTGGTTTTGTTCAACACAATATATATATATATATCTATATATCCAGTTCGGGTGGGTTCAAAAGGAACCCCGCGAACCGAATGCGGTGGATCTTTTTCAGGCCAGTTCCTTTGTGGCTTGCATGGCTTTTTGGGCCATATCAAGGTAGCACCGGAATGCCGGCTCAAGATCAACATTTGTTGACCCCTCATGAATATCCCCCTTTCCCTATATAGTTATCACTTTCCCACTAACGTTGAGGGCCCCGCTTTTAAACAACTTGGGGGCTTAATCAATCCGGGGCCGCCTCATGCCCGGCGCTTCCTGGCCCAGGCGATGGTGCCAGAGGCGACTCCGGCGAGGAGGAAGTGCCCTTTGCCCCTGGGCCCTCTACGCCCTTGCCTTGCATTCGCAACGCAAGACGTGCTTTGAATTCTGTGGATCGGAGATGTGCTTGACTGATCTCAAGCTCATTCAGATGTGTGGATGGCCTTGAGGCCGGAAGAAGCAAAGGTCGTGCAGGAGGTGCTTGAGGCGCCATGTCTCGCGAGCCGCGAGTCTGGGAGATAGGGAACCCAAAAGGGAGGGAGCCGCCCCCAAGAAAGTGGCAAGGCATCTTGAGGGGTTCTCAAAATTACTTTCAGGTGCCGGTGGTTTTGCTTGAAACCCAGCATTTGACGGGTATGTGTTAATTAAGATGAAGGTATTTGTCCCGGATCAAACTTGGGGGGCTAATTTCATCAGGGTCATCAGTCTTCGCCACTGTGGATGCCTGAAATGACCAATCAGTGACGTCCATAGGCGAGAAGTGAGCCACAGGGTCTGCCTTTCTTGAGGCTCACAAACCTTTCCCAAAGGTGACCCGTGGCGGCTTAGGCCTGACATTCAGGACCTGAAATCTATCCCAAAAGGTGGCCGGTGTTTTCTTCTTCTGCGAGACCTGACATTTATGCTTAGGCCATGCTGGACATCGCTGCGCGGGACGGCTTGGGTGGAATCCACCGGCTCGTGGAGATGTTCCGCAAGGCGCGCGCGGACCGATTTTGATGGCGTGCGTGCGCGTTTTGTTTTTTGGAGTTGGTACCCCCTTTCTTGGTTAGTTTTAAAGGGAAACCAAAAGCCAACCACCCATTTTTGTTTTGTTCTCCCTACTTCAAGACAAGCCCCCTTTCGTCTTCCTTGGAGAGGGGACATTGGCCTCTTTGTTTCTTGCCAAATAACAGTTGGCGGTGTATCTAAGCCAGGAGAACGCTACAAGCCTCCAAACTTCGCAAACCCTATCTGAGACTGGGATGCCATGGGAGCTTGGATTCTGTCCATGCAACTGCCTTTTGAGTGATTGTTATCTTGCTTGATTGTTGTTGGGGGGATCCTGGGATGCGAGCGGACCAACATATGTCAGCCCGCCTGAGCCGTGCGGCGGCTGTGCGGATTTGTTTTTGTTGGTAAGCCCTGCAACCCTGGGGTTCTGCTTTTCGGCGGCAAAGCAGTTCTTCTCGGCCTTGGGTTCCTCGGCTTCTGGCAAGGTGGACTGCTTGGAACGTCTTCAACGAGGCGGGCATGCAACGCAAGCGCCAGGGGCACTGCATCGGATTCAGAGGTTCCCTGTTGCTTCCCTTTTGAAGCCCATCCAAAACGGGGCTCGATCCAACCCTGAGATGTTTGTTGCATGACGGTGCGGCGGTGCTTCCAGCAGCCATCCAAGGATTTCCTCGAGGTGCTCTTTGATTACGGGTTTAGGTGCTGGGCAACTTTAACAATTTGTTGGATGGTGAATGTCTTCACGGAAGCCTTCTGCAGGAAATCAACCAGCCCAAAAACGGGTGTGTCTTTTGGCCAGGGTTCCCGTTTTGGGTAGGTTTGAAGGGACAGCCCAAGCGAAAACCCCCCAGTTTCTCACCATTTGGTCGGGACAGTTCCCATTTCCAGGTGTGGAGCTTCTGGACTCCGCCAGGCGATTTGCAACGGCCAAGCTTTGCGAAGACACCGTGGGTGTGTCCGTTTTTTTTTTGGGGGGGGGGCCGCAAAATGGTTGTTTCTGTTTTTTTCTTTTGGTTTCCCTTCAAAAAGCAGAAAAACCGCCCCCCCCCCCCATGCAAAAAGACACACCCAAGTGACATACTTGCCTTGTGACCACAGGGATTGCCGACAGGTCTGCCGATGCAATTGTTGTGAAGTTATAGCGCGGGACATTATCTGCCGCGGGGAGTATACAAACAAATACGCACAAAGACGTGCATTTTGGCTGCTAATATGGACAAGGCATTTTGTGTCGATTTCAGAGGTAATTTTGAGATCTCTTCAATGGACCCAGATTGCCTCACCCGGCCAGTCTCGACATTCTAAAAGTTTCGCCTTTTTATGATAGTTTCCTCAGTGGTTGTCCACTATGTATCAATGTATCAATCACTCAGGGATCCTTTCCAGAAAAGCACCAAACGCGTTGGAAACAGCTGATTTCTATTTGTTGCTGTTGCCTATGCACAGGATGTCATGCTTGGCGGTTCCCAGCCACCTAAGAGTTTTAAGTTGGAGCAGCTCTAAAAACCCCATTTACGTCCCAAGCAAGAGTTGTGTCATAACAAGGCCCCGCGCAAGCAACACCCTGCAAGGCGTAAGCCGGCGCAAGCACTTTGTGCGGAAACATGCTGCGCAGGCACCCGCGTAAGCTCTTCCTCGTGATTGCTTGGTAAACTTTGTAAGCATGCTCTTTCACACATGTCGTATGTGTTTATTGGTGGCTTGTGCTTTTTCAACCTAGTCGAGCTTGGCAACTTGCCCAGGAAGACGTCTAAGACTGCATGTGTGCACCAATAGAAAACAAAGCCAGATTGGGAGCTCTTGAGGCTCATGCCAGGTGCGGTTGAAACCCTTACTAGGACAAACAAAGGCTTCTGAAACCGCGGGTTTAGCAAAACTAAGGAGGCTCGGGCGGGCGCGTAAGCTCGCGTAAGCAGGCGCGTAAGGTTCGCGTAAGCTCGCCTAGCTCCGCTGCCCGCTAGCCCTCGCCATAGATGCTGCCGCCGCACAAGCCGTTTCTTTACCTGCAACAAAGACAAGCCGCTGAAACTCCTGAGGCTATTTCTTCGTCATCTGCTTTCTCTCTCTCAGAGTCATCCACGTCATCTTGAACAGTTGGCGGCTGCATGGGAAAAGGACCCCGCGAAGGCAATTCTTGAGGGAAACGCTCAAAACGCCGTCGCGTAAGCGATGCGTAAGCTTAACATGCTCGCTGACAGCCGCGTCGGCTAAAACATAGGTCGCGTAAGGAAAGCGCAAGCTCGCGCGCAAGCAACCTGATACGACATAGGGATTCATGGGAGGGTTATAGAGTCGCTCACATTGTTTAGAGGGGTTCATGACATACTTTTAGCACGAACACAGTGCTTCCAGTTGCCACATTATAGGCAGCCAAGGGAACCACCATGCAACAACTCAAGCCGGAAGATCCAACTGGTTTCCTAGCATACCCAGCATACGGGCTGCAAACTCAAGTTCAAAAATCCAGCTGGCACCTAGTATAGTGGAAACTGGGCTTGCCTGGGTAAGGGACGGGTGTTGAAGGGAAGTACGGATGTGTCTCAATGAATGATGGCACCTCTCCATGTTGCCGTATTTCTGTTTCCGAGTGTCTCGGACTTCCTGAACTCCCCTGGTTCTGCGGGGACTTATGTCCACTTATGTCCACCAACCACTTTGGAGGTGGTTCCCTATTCCCACTCCCTGAGTTCATGGACTTTAAACTTTTGGGGAAGACCATGCAAGTGGCAGGCCAAAACTTCTTTGGCCAGTGCACTCAGGAAGTGAGTATTAGGATTCATGGCCATTGGTTATCCATGCGAGTCACCCAAGTAGAGTACCAGGCCCCCGCTTTGGGGTTTCCCACGCGCCAGGCTTCTTAAGCCCAGACCCACGGGCGAAGGTGAAGGACGGTTGGGCCTGTCCCTCGACCCGGGGGAACCTCTGGGTCCAAGCAGACCCCCTAGTCACACCCACTTCTGTCAGTTGGTTTCTTGTGAAAGACCAGGTTTTCCAGGATCATTCAAACGCCTTCTTGTTTTTGTCACCTGGCATCATACGCCCCAAAACACGAGGGAATCCATTTGGAGCATATGAATCCTTCTTGGGACCCTTGTGCGCGCCCTGGCTCTGCAGGATGTTTAGCCCACGGTAGCATAGCCGAATGGTGGGACCTCCCAAACCACCCGATCCTTAGTGGTTTGCGAGTGGAATCTCTTTGGCCACACAAAAACCCGAGGGCCTGGTGGTTTGGGGCAAGCAATTTCTCAACCTGAAAGTTGGTACTCGAAACCCACTTTCAGTTGGGTGTGGTCTGTTTTGAGCATTTGTTGTGTTGTTCCTTTAAATGGAATGCAACCCATTTCTTGTGAGGAGAGCGGCCACCAGACTCATGGCAGCTGGCGGCGGAATTTGAGCCAGCGCCTCTAATTTTGTTGGGGTGGGGGCCGGGGGGGGGGGAGTTCGGGGGGTTCGGCGGGTTGGCAAACGAGGGATTGGTCCCTTGAAACGTCCCTGTTGGGTGACTGGCAGATAAATCCAATTTAGGGGTTGTCATCAGCTGATATAAAGGGCATAGTTAGCATCTACTGTCACCTGGTTATGGTTGGTAGATGAGTCTAGCTGCACTTCCCCGATTCTTTCCAACATACATCCATCACGTCTTACACTGTAGCCATTCCCAACATGGCTCCAACAAGGTCAGGTTGCGACCTCCTCCATATGGCCAAATGGATGGATGAATGGGTGGATGGATGCATGCATGCATGCATGCCTGCATGGAGGGATGGCCGCACCTCCAAAACGATGGGACAGTTGGACAAGAATACCATGTATGTTTGACCACCGGGTGCATTTCCTTTTGAATGTATTTTCCAAAACCCGCCGTTTCGTTTGGGATCCCTGAAATGTCAGGAGGCGACTCCAGCGCCTGGCCCCATGTTTACACAGGGGCGCTTGTCAAATTGGCTCGAACAGCCAAAGGTCCCTGTCATTGGCGGTCGCATGGCGCGTTCCTGGCGCTCATTTGGACAAAGCCATCTCTTTGTTGTCCGCTCCCGGATCGCAGCTCGCAAAAACAACAGTCGCTCTGAAGTAACCAGCGGTGCAAGCGGTTCTCTCTAAATGTCAGATTGTTTGGACCTGCAAAGGTACACTTTCATGGGTTTCGACTTCCCTTCTGGCCGCTCAATTTCCGACCGTTTTTGGTCCTTGTGTGGGGGATGAAAGCATCGGAAGCCGGCAAGTTGAGTTGCAACGGGGGGGAATTGCGAAATGGTGCAACTCCCTGGAGAAGTTCAAGTAAGTTTACAAGCGATGACTTTAAGGGGATGGCTGTGTTTGACGCCACCCACCAACTTGAGTGACAAGACAAACAATTTTGAATGAAAAGACCGACAAAACAAGTTCTTCATGTTGAGAGAGACAGGTGTCCTTCAAAGGGTCGCTTTGCGAGGCCCTGGACTCACTTGGTGAGCCTGGCGGGGCTCCCATGGCTGAGACTAGAGGGCTCCGGCATCCCAAGTTAGTCACGAAAGTGCCCTTAGGTTGGTTTGTGGCGGGACACCAAAAAGAAAACGGAAGCCTTTTTTTGGGTTCCAGGTGTTTTTCAGACACCATGTGTCAAGAAAATATTGTACTCATACGTGGGGCTCGTAGGGATGGGGACCTTCTAGAATGCTCGGTGGGCATAAATGCCTATGTCAACCAAAGGACCGTTGGAAAATTGGAGGAACGGTTGGACGTGAGGTGCTTTCGAGGCATAAGGCCAGGAAAGTGCGAGTAGAACCTAGCGAGCTGGCAAAGGCCCAAATGCGCTGTTGAGGGTCCAAGCATAGGACCCCGTTTGGTTGGCGAAGGGGAATGCGAAGGAACCCAGCCACTTTGAGGGCTGTCCTATTGTATGCAGGAAACAAAGCTTGTTTGCACGTTAGCTACCCTTTTCCAGCTTGTTTCGATTTTTGCCTCCCTAGCCCTTTTTCAGCTCATTCCGTCAATCCCCTCCCCGATTCTAGGCAACTTGTTTTCCAAACCCGAAAAGGCCCTGGTGTTTGCAGGAACTCCGGGGAAGCCCTGTGCTTTGACATCCGCCCGATTTTTTTTGACAGAAGCTTGGGAAGCCAACAAAAGAGGAGAAGCAGATTTCATTGGTTGGGAATCTATCTTCCCCTAGGATATCACACTCCAGGGTCGCTCCGAGCCAAGCGATGGCTTGACGCCACACCCATTTCTTGGGCTCCCGGCGGATTTTGGCGCTCGAGGTGAACAGCTTGGGGGGGGCCGCCAGCTTCGCCCAGCGGGTGGAGGCGGTGAACCTGCAGCACTTCGACGAGTGCGCGGGCCTCGGCCCGGAGTTGCTGTGATGCTCTGCCCACTTGGCCCGGCAAAGGGGGGTTGGAAGAGATGAGTATGCCTCCGGTGGGCTCATTTAGGTCCCCTGTGTGGTTTGATCGGCAATCAAAACGCCTCGAATTCGTTCCGCGTTTACCAGCATCTTGCATTTTTGCCCATAACTAAAATGATGGGTAGACTAGATTTAGATTCGTGGTTGAGCATGGAGCGGTAACAGGATATGGGTATCTCTCCATTAATACTACTAGTATTTTTTTGAGGGGGAGTGCTTTAGGTTTAGGTTTCTCTTTAAACCACCAGAAAGGAATGAATCCCGATGGTAACCGCCAAGAGGCAAACTGACCATCTAAAGGGAGGAGGGTGTGTCTCCAATTGCCTTGAGGTTTCCCTTGAGAACAAGCCCTGGGCTCCAATTGTTGATTTATTTCCCCCCACCTAGACGCAGCGATTCAAAAGACAATGTCTCAAAATAAGAGCACGCCCCACATCAAAGTGGTTCTTATTTTTGGCTCCCCCTTTTCATAGCCCCCAAACGGATATCACCTCCAAACAAACGAATCACACCCAGGGCAGTTCTCTTTTGTTGAAGGCACGCTTTTTGGGGTTGTTTCGAAGCGAAATCAAAGATAATCCCGCCATTTGTGAGTTCCATCTCCCAATTTGGATGAGATGTGATTCGTTGTTGAGACCAACCCGATTTGGGGGATCAATCGCAATTTTCAGATATGGGGTTTTGAAGGTGTGTGCTATGGCTTAAAACGTTCAACGAAAAGGTCAGTGTCCGCCCTGTAAACGAAGTATAAGTCCATGCCTCTCAGTGAGCCCCCGCCTTAGTTGCACTGGGGCAGAAGGTAGAGTAGCACGGTGCAGGCTTCCGTCCATGAGCAGAAGTCTTGTTTTTATCTTGGTATCGCTTCCACCCGAGATCAAAGGGAAACTACAAGGAAACCCGATGCCGGGCTTAGGCCCGCTATTTTCACATCCCCGGCTCGTTGGATTTCCGATCGAGAATTGCCGAGGCCTGGAAATCCTGAATGCCGCCGGCCTGACGAGAAAGCTCTGTTCCTAGTGGGGACCTGGATGCATGTTTGTGGATCGAAATTCACTGAGTGACACCACGTGTCTCTTCCCAAATCATAAGCCCGTTGTATTTAGCTTCTTCCTGTGAGCTGAAGGAATCGCACCTCTTTGCCCGAAAGTTTGAGGCTACCCTTTTCTGGGTGGTTTGAAGGGAAACTGCAATCGCCCTGCTCAAAGGCGCACACGTTGTTTTCCAGCTGATGGAAAAGGTTCCATGGGTGCGAGCCGCGTTTGGCTGAGTAAGAGGGGCCCCTCTGTAAGCCGCAAACCACATGCATGGATGAGACAGTCAAATGGGTGTGATGTCAATTGCACCAGCCCAAAAGAAAAGTTGACTGTTCATCCGCTGGGCTTTGTGAGGCCCTTGCGCATGGTGTCTAGCGCAGTATGGCCAGTTTTGGCCGACTTCTTCGCCGAGATGATGAAGTTCGGGTCGAACTTCAGCTGCCAGACCCACGTCCCCAAAAATTGGATCAGTCTTGTTCTTCTTTGTCATGCAGTCCGCGAGATTCCAGTCACTGGCCAACCAAAGCAACTTGGTGCCAACCTTCTTCATTTGTTGGCGCAGTTGGTACGCCTGCAGAGCAGCCCTGATATTCGATAGGCCAAGCAACGGCCCTTCGTTCAGCTCCACCGCATCGTAGGCACCCTTGCTGTCTGTCGCCAGCAGCCCGGGAATGGTCGCCACCATCGCGTCAGCCACCTCCAGAATGTCCTTGGAGTCGTTGAAGCCGCAGCAGCCATTCAGCTGCGCCCACATAAGGCGAACGCGATAGGCGTTGTCCTCGCCCTCCAGGATGGATTGGATCTCTCCATCATTTGACGAGATGGCCACTCGTCGCAACTTCCATGTTCGCCACATCACCAGCGACAAGGTAGAGGTCTTGCCCTCTCTGATGCTCTTGCCGCCCATCAACACCAACAGGCCTCCAGTGGACTCACCCTTGGGCCTGTTTGCGTGCGCCTGGTCTGCCATTCCGACGATGGTCATGTCCTGCCAGTGCTCCACGTCGTTGAAGTGATGAAACCTCAGTGATGTGGATGTCGAGGTCCGCGCTTCCTTGATCAGGTCCTGCACTTCCTTTGCCGCCTCCATCTTGGGCTTTCCGCTCAAGTCTGACAGAAGCAGTTTGCAGCGAGCGCATAGCAACGGGGCACTCTGCACCGCAAGCCACTGCACTGCACCTAGTGCACCACGGCACATGGACACCTCCCGCGGTGTCATCTCCTCATTGGATCGTAGCCGCTTCTGCTCAATGGCCAAATCCTCCAATGTCTCCGCGTAGTGCTTTTGTTCCAGCTCCACGTAGAACTGCTCACCCTGATCAATCACATTCACATCGACGCCAATGTGCCGGTAGGAGTTCAACCTCACCGTTCCCCATTTGAACTTCTCGTCGATCTTCTTGCGGATCTCCAGCCATCGTTCATTACGAAGATCTCCTCCCCGGTTGAAGTCATCCACGTGACCACCCATGAAGCCAATGGTCGTGTAGCGGTCCCACTCATTCCGAGGGGACTTGTTCTCCTCGATCCAGACCCACAGACACGAGTCTCCCCAGATCCGGATGCCGCCCATGCCGGTCAGCTCGCGGTCCAGTTCCTGCCACAAGTTCCTTGGGGCTGTCGCGCTTCCGTAGATATCCTTCAGCAACCGCAGAAGACCATTGTTGTCCACGCCCAAAGCCTCCTTGAGCTCCGGTGTCCCAGTGGTCCACAACCGTTCCTTCTCCATGGACTTTGACGTCTGTAGGAAGGCCGTCGACAGGTCAAGGCCTTCCAGATCCCATTTGCGCTGGGCCACCAGCTGGAAGGTCAAATACCGTGCCAGGGTGGACTGCACTGGCGACGCCGTCTTGTGACCTTCATCCAGCAGATCTGGATGTTGAAACCCAAGAAGCACGATTCGTGCTTTTGCCTTTTTGGACGCGTCTGCCGTGATGGTAGTACTTGAGGGATCACTCTTCACGGCCTTCTGGGCTTCCTCCTGCTCCTCCGGTGGAATGACCTTCCATGTGAGCACCCACCGACATCCAAGCACTCTGCCCGATTGCCGCGCTTCGTCCTCCTCTGCCTTGTTCAGGCACCGTCGCACCGCCTCCTGCGCCAGGAAGCTCTTCACTTCCTTCGACTTGGCCCGATCGAACAACTGCTTGTCCTGCTCCGAGAGATGCCTGTAGACTACCTCCGCGTCTCTCATCTTTTTCACCAGGAAATTGACCGGGTTCCTGACGAAGTTCTTCTGTTCGCGATGCGATCCGAAGTTCAGGTCGAGCTCCATCCAGTAGCCCTCGTTGACTTCGTCCAAGGCGTCGAAGAGCTCCGCGTGCAGCGTCTCTTCGTCCTTTGCCGACTCATCACTAACATCTCCGTGGTCGGTCTTTTGTCGCTTCTCATCGGGTTCCTTTACTTCGTTCGCCGATGCCCTTGAGGATGTGCTCTGTAGCAGTGGCCTTGCCGAAGACGATCCACCAATGGTCAAAGGCTTTCCGTCTCCAAGACCCGTGTCTTCCTCCATCCCAGCATCGTCATCCACCAGAAGCGACCTTGGCTGGTAGTCGTTCACATCTACCGCCTCCTCTTTCTCCGGGATCCCCGGCGACATTCGTGGCTGTTTCCATCTCAACCGTCTCATCGGTGCTGGAGCCATGGTCGAGGCATCAGGTTGCTTAGGAAGATCAACCTTCTCCTCGTCCTCCTCCATCGGCTCCTCGTGAACCACATCCACGTACTCCTTCTGCGGAATCAAGTCCGTCAGACTCTTCCACTCCATGGGGTTCGTCTGGTTCCTCATTTCCTCCACGGCTTGTTCCACCTCCGTGAGAGGTCTGACCGAATGCACCGAGCACCGCATGATGGTGCGTCCGATGACCACCCAGACAATGTGCCTCCTCTCATCTCCTTCTTCCTGGTCCACCAGAACTTCTTGGAACAGCACACGTCCTGGCCCGATCCATCTGGGCTTTGCCGTCTTCTTGAAACCTTGCCGCTTGCCCTTGTGGTACTCATGCGTCATATACCTCCTCCAGACTTTCACCCACTGCGTAGGCCAGAAATCTCTCAACGGCTGCCTGACCTTGGAGTTATGCAGCTTGCTCAAGGTGCGCAGCGCTTTTGCCCTTCTCGCACAATCCTCTGCTTGCTGACGCTGTAACCTCACATGATCTTGTTGTAGATCGGGGGGGTCGAGCCCTGCAAAGGTCCGAAGGTCCTCCTCCGTGAGCGAGTAGCTTCTGCCAAATGCCCATTGGAAGGGGCTATATCCTTCCACGAACTCCGTGCCGTTGAGTCCTGCTGCCGCCATTGCCAGACACACTCCTGGGTCCATAGCCGCAAACGACGTCTGGATGAGAGTAGCCGTGGTCTTGATGTCCTTGATCGCACTCTCGATGACACCATGCGCCCATCCCTCCTTCTCTGCCGGATGCTGCAGCGCAATGTTGAGGTCCGAGAGATACTCCCGCAGTTTCGTCGATGTCAGTGTCTTGGCCGAATCGGGGATCACAAACTGTGGCTTGGGCTTGTCCATGAGCCACCTTGCTGCAAAGCTTGCGATGACATCCTCCGCCGATTCCGCATGCTGCTGGTCCAGGTTGTAGGTCTTCAGAACATCCACCACCTTGTACTTCGTTGCCATGTCCATGTAGAGGATGAACTTATACTTCTTCTGGCTGTTGGGTGGCAGCCATTCCGCAATATCAATGCCAACCTGTGACCATGCCCTCGGGAGAGGCTTTGTTGAAGCCGGCGGAACTTGTCCTGAACTACTTCCACCTGGTCGGAGTGCTTCACATTGCGGGCATTTGTAATCCAACACCATGCGGATCTGCCACGCTGGTCTTCCCGCGTCTCTCACCATCCGGGCCAGGTTGCGGTTTCCCGGATGTCCCGCTGCGGCGTGAAACTTCTTCACCTTTGCAAGCCAGATCTGTTTTTCCGCCTCCGATGGCACCAGCTCTGCGTCTGGTCTCTCTTCTCGCATATCTTCGATGTCCTCGTCGCCAACGGCGTCTGGCTCTTCGTCTTCACCCTCAGCTGCATGAAGCACAACCTCCAGGTAGTCCTCATTCGAGATGTCCAAGTCCTCCTTGATCCAGAGCTTCTTGAGAACTCTGTCCGGTACTTCCTGTTGCCTCCAGAGTCTTGCAATGCTGCGGCACATGTTCCACGGGTAGTAGGCCGTCGCTGCCGTCTCCCCGCCAGCAATTTCTCCATGATCATGACCGCCGGTGCATGTCTTGTTCCTGAACATCGCGTAGAAGCGCTCATCCGTGGTCATGATGGTCCATTGCTTCCGCAGCAGTTGCTTGTTGTCTCGCGTGCGTAAATTGTACCGACATCCGTCGATACGACACCAGAAAATGCGATAGCCATGGTACACCAGGATGCGCTGGATCTGCTCCATCTCCTGTACATTCCACCCGTCGCAGTGCGTTGGCCACTCGTGGTAGTAGTCCGGGCGATAACCAGCTCCAAGCATTTGTCCAAGCCAGTTGGCGAAGATCCGCATCATCTTCCTTTGCCTGCGTCGGAACTTCGACAGCACTTCCGGTCGATCTCTGTAGTTCAACCTTGCCCACGTGCTCCACTTAGTACATGGCATCGATAACCACAACCTCCGGGGTTTCTTGATCACCGCCAGGTTCGCCAGCACCTCGTAGGTCTCGGGCTTGTAGAGATCAAGATCATTCGCAAGGTTCACCCGCATGTGCTGTAGCCCTTCCCGTTCCGTGGCATGGGACAGCCAACTGTCCGGAGCGCAGAAGAACTCCCACAGCGCGTCCTCATCTCCATACAAGAGCTCCTGCGCGCTCATAGCCAGATGGCGTTGAGCATCCTTCTGCATCTCCAGGGCCTGGCTGGCTACGTACTTCGGAAGGAACTCCTTCAGTTCTCCTCCACTGGCAGCTTCCGCAACTGCTCCGTAGTCAGCATCTCCACATCCTCCTGCGCCTTTATCGCACGCTCTCGCATCACCTCCTTGATTCTGACGAGCTCTTCCGTTGTGATGTGCTTGAGAATCTCTTGCTCTAGGGTGGGTGTCTCTGGCTCCTCGAGCACACCCCATGAACCGGCGGCGCTTGAAGGGGACTTCGGTGCCGAGACTGTCGTCTGATACCCCTTCTCCTTCTTCGCCACCACTCCTTTCTCCTTGCACTTGACCAGCACGTCCGCGTAGCGCTGGTTGGTAGTGTGCTTGTCGATCGCCACTCTGACCATCTCCTCCGTCGGCATGATGCCCTTCATGCTCGAAAAGTCCGCCTCCAGCATCTCCAGCGCCTTCAGCACGTCCCGTTGATTCTTGACCTCCGTGTGGTCCGACGGAGCTCCTTTCTTCGGCACGTAGATCAGGCGCAACGCGCAACGGCTGCAGTGCAGCCACACTCCCCACTTGTTGCTCCGATAGTGCATCGGTTCGTGCTCGCCATAGCATGGCCATTGCTGGCCTGACGCTCGAGGATCTCTCCCGTCCATCGTCATGGCCCGATGCTTCTCCATCGCCTGCATTTGCTTCCCTTCCTTCTCCTTCGAGATCTGCTTCTCCAGCACCTCCAGGTAATCCGGCGACTTTACGGCCATGACTCACTAGCGGCGCTGTCGAGGAAGGGGTTCCCAGGGGCTGCTCAGGTTCCTGATGCATGGGTCTGAGCCCAACCGCTGCTGGTTCAGTCCGATTCAGCTCCCGTCTTCGTTGCAGCAATAGGCGAAAGGACTCTGCCCTCTCCTGCTCAGACATCAATCCATGCAGTTCCAGAACTTCAATATCATGATCAAACGTCACCTTGCGTTCCTCGACAAGAATGATATTTGCATGCCCATGCGGCACTGAGGTTCCCCCGGTAAGGTACTCTACAAGATCCACCATGTAGTGTCCCTTAGAATTCTGCTGAAGGTGATAGTGCTGATGGGGGTCGATCAACGAGAACACACAACTTCCGTCCACCAGATCCACAACCATGCCTGTACCGCTGTCCCCCGCAAAGTCCATGCCAACAAGTACAGGTACAAGAAGGGATCTGCCCTCATCGCTATCCTGGTAATTGCTGGGGTTTGGAAGCACGTACACAGAAAAGTTCCTGAGTTTTCCTGATGCTGTGGAGTGAAGATCAACATGATATTCTCCACGTCCCCACTTCCCTGACCCGAAGCGAAAGTATGGGCGACGGCTCTGGTCAATCTTGATTGTCGCTCCTGGGTCTTTTGCCAGAAGGGCTTGGATCAGCCCTTGAACAGCACCTTCTGGGCCAGCGCTTGCCGTGGCTCCGGTGTCCAGCATGCCTTGGCCCGTGCAGAATTTGCTTCAGCTGCATGAAGATTTCCATGAGCACGAGCTCCGGCTTCCATCTCCAGTCCATAGTAGTCCGCCACATAGGCATTGACCTGGCCACTCTTCGTGCTCTTGAACTTGCCTTTCCCTTTGTCAAAGGGGTACGCGTAGGCCGCGTCGTAGACGTTCGCCCAGTTCGCGCCTTTCGACTTATATTTCCCCTTCTGGAAGGGCAAATCCCAATGCCAGTCCGGGTCCATGAAGTGAGCTTGCTTGCCCGGGTTCTTGCCTCCAAACGACTTTCCCCCATATCCTTTACCCTTTCTCACACCGGGATGCTGTCTATCTGGGCATTCACGGGCCATGTGGTTGCCCCCGCAGATGAAACAACCACTGCTTCCTTTTGCTCCCGGCACCACTGGCGTTGCGAAACCACGCTCTCGTCTCATGGCCGCCGTGGCTTGCTGTGCTTGAGACCACGTTCTCTTGGCTTCCATGGCCGTGATCTCGGCGTCCTTCTCCGCCTTGTGCATCTCCTGTAGGCGAGGATCCTCTGCATCATCTCCGTGTCCTCCAGCATCTGTCTCCCACGCGTTCGCGTCCTCGTCCTGCCAGCCAACGTAGTACTGCCATCCATTGTTCCAACCATCGCCCCATTCATCACCCCAATCGCCATAGCCCGTGTCGTCCACATACGAGACAAAGGACTCTGCTTCGGCAGCATGAAGATGATGTCCCGGGGCCGCCGTAGGAAATCTCGTCGCCGTCAGCTGTTCATCCCACAGGGTCTGCAACGCATCGCTGATGCTCTCGTAGTCCAGCCTCCCGTTCGTGGTGCTCAGGATGTCTCTCCATTCCTCCGGGCTCAGAGATGCTGCCACCAGCAACCTCCATCCCCGCAGGACATTGATGATGAAGGAGTCCATCACGTTGAGCTCCTCCTCCTCAACCGCATCTGCTGTGCCTGCTGCAGCTCCAGCAGCTTCTTGACGTACCGGTTGAGGTGCTGCTGCCTGATCCCGTCCAGCCTGAGGTGATGCTGCTGCCGGAGGGGCTTGAGCTGAAGCCGCATCTGTGGTTCGATCTTCTTGAAGATCATCTGCATCCGCAGCTACCTCCTCCTCTTGAGCCACCCTCTGATATCCCCATGACTTCCGACGGCTGGACGCCTCCGACGTCTCGTCCACGCGGCTACCACCGCGTTGCCTCCATCGATCCCACTGACTGGGAGACCACCAGTCCTGAAGATCTTCATCACGATCAGGATCACCAGGGGGAGGTAGCCCAAACGTTCTCTTGCTCGGGTCCACCCCGCTCCGTTCCTGCTTCAACCGGATGAGCGCCTCCTGAAACTCCTCAAAGCCGAGAGTTTCCCGCACAAGGAAATCCGACACCTTCTCGTTGGAGTACCTCTTGAAGGCAAAGTACTGACTCATGATCGCCGCCGCATTCGGCATACTGCGGCGAACCAGAGAGCTCATTGCAAGCTTCCGGAGGTACTTCGCGACGCCGTCCTCGGTGTCAAACTCCGATTGCGACCAACTCATCGCCAGCAACCTTGCGGTTCCCGTCAGCTTCGAGATGAGCCTAGTCGCAAGGTACCTCCGCATGTTCTGCTTGTTGCCTCTGACGTACCATGAGATCTCCTTGCAGTAGCGGCGCCATCCCTTTGGTGCACCGTCCCAGGTAGGGACCGTCTCCTTGCCCTCCATGATCTCCCTGATCGGGCCGAAGGGCTCGCGATCGTGTTGATGAGATTCACCGCCTGGAGCGTCTCCTGCTCCGCTACCAATGCAATCGCCCTGCTCAAAGGCGCACACGTTGTTTGCCAGCTGATGGAAAAGGTTCCATGGGTGCGAGCCGCGTTTGGCTGAGTAAGAGGGGCCCCTCTGTAAGCCGCAAACCACATGCATGGATGAGACAGTCAAATGGGTGTGATGTCAATTGCAGAAACCAAACGGCCCTGTTCATCTTTGGGGCTCCATATTTTTCATTTTGGGAGTTGCTTCTTTCCCAGGTCCATGAAATTCGAGGACAGCTGGGAGCCCAGCGTTTCACCGCTGCGAGGTGTGAACTAGATTGCCCTCGTGATGGGGTGGGCTTTTGGGTACGACGGCATTGTTTCGCGGGAAACTGATCGTGGCTAAGACACCAGCTACGGGAAATCCGCGTTTTTGGCGGGTTTTCGGGGCCAATTTCCCGTAGAATGTTCTGATGAAATTCCTGTAGCTGGTGTCTGTGAAACAAGTTGGACTTCTATTTTCCAGGCTTTAGGCGCAGATTCGTTGGGCAGTTGAGCCAACCAAAAGGGATGACAGACCTGAGACATAACTAAACCACCAAGGGGCACTCTGCTGCAGACATGGAACTCGAAACGACCAACATTTTCTAGGGGAAGCTTCTTTTGGGAATCGGACCCCCAGACCTGACATTCCATGTGAATCTGCAGGGTGAATGCTCACGTCTTAAGGCGGGTTGTACTAAGGCGGACCGTCCACGGAGCTTATTGCCAGATGGAAGGAGGCCAGTTGCTGTATCGCATGTCATGGGCGAGGTCTTCCTTTCGCTTTTTTTGTTTTACCTGGAGGGGGTGAGGGGATCTTTTTAGGGTGGGGTGTGATTTTGCGCCACATAAACGGCGGTCAACACATGGGCCATTATTTATTTGTTTGCAACTTCCCTGTTGAACACCAACCCAAACTTTGGATTTTGATGTTCCACTGTGATTTTTCAAAGGGGGGCAGACCATTCTCAAACTCACCCCGCAGGAGACGAAGTGACCTCAGCAGTTGTCTTTGACCAACCCTGGTCGAAGTCACGGGCCCATACGTGTGGAGCCCCTCCTTGGGATATGGTGCCTTGTGAGGCCTGTTTTGGCCAGCTTTACTCCCAATGAGCATGGAACCCGAAAAAAAATCACCCCGGAAAAGGAGATTCCTAAAGCGATGGTTTTGTGAGTTCCCGAAAGGAGATTCCTCTACACATGTTGGTTTTCTGGGTACGCGAACATCGCGGGTTTTATTGCGGGAGGTGGTGAGCGTGCTGGCCAACAATGGGGGTCCAGCACTGCCGGCCGCC